GAGTTCAGTGTTTGCCATAACACATCCCTGTCCACTCTGTCATAAGCCTTCTCCAAGTCCACGAACGCACAAAAACCTTTTTGGTTTTTGGCCAAAAGCTTTTCCATCCCTGACCACTCTGTCATAAGCCTAACGCACAAAAAACTTTTTGGTTTTTGGCCAAAAACTTTTCCGCTATCTACTAACAAATTTGCCATACCAAAGGATCTTTTGAAAAAACCCAAATATAAGTATTATTATACAACACCACGCGCAATGACATCCTATAATCAATGTCGTCAGCACAACGTGTAATCCATCGCGACGGATAAAGATGAACGCCAAGAATTCAATATTTTAGGTATATAGTAGGTAACTATGCAATCAATTATATTATAAAGTCAACCACTTTATTATTTAGTAATTAACACTATTTCAAAATTTTTTGATCAGATTTGAGCTAGATTGTCAATGGACTAGAGGCATTTTTTTAAATTCAATTTAACCTGATAACTTGATTCCGAGTTGGTAACACTTCACAAGTGGATAAGGGATATTAACAGACTGATGTTATCATCGTTCTTAAGAAATTCCGTACTATGCATATCCAAAAATTGAATTCTAGTGCAGTAACAAACTTCGATAAAAACATTAATCAGAGCAGATCAGGCAAGATATTATGTTATAAGTAACATGTGTGCACACACACATGCACATAGGAGGGATGCCACTTATACTAGCCCCACCCCCGATTTTACACTGTTTTACTTCAAAAATAAGGTTTCTAGTGGTTCAATACTGTTAACTAAAAAAATCTCCGTCATAAGAGGAAAGTAGTCTCATCCAATACTAGCACACAGTTATAAATCTATCAATGATAAATTAAAAATCAATACATACACTTCATTTCATTACATTTTTTCCTGTGTATACTTCTAATTTGTCTGGGTCTAATAGTTATTCAGTTATTAGCAGTTCATAAGTAGCTCAAATTGATTTGTGTAAATTGTGAGAAATTGACTGACATACAGACGCTTGTATGTGTGACCCAGTATATCATCATATCCTTTCTATATTATATCATATTGTTGTATCCCATAAAATATTATTGTAATACTAACTACTAACGTCTTAATATGTTTTCATTTTCCTTAGATATAATGCAATTATACTACTATTATTTTGAATATTATATACAATTAAACTAAATACATTTTATACTACATGTAAGTACTTATAAAATAATCTTGCAATTTATTACAAAACTAATTGCTGCAAAATGCACTTGACTTACTTTGCAAGGGATTTTTTAACACTAGAATAAAAGTATCTGCAAGTAAAACATAGAACAAGAAAAAATAGAAGAGCACAGATTAATAGTGCTGACCTTCAAATGTGCAGTAAGCATTTTTAGGTATGGTCAGTGGTATGAGATGGATGTATTTTATGATTACGTATGCATGGCACAGAGACACTAATACTGATGCTCAATAACTTAGTTAATAATTTGGTGCAAGTACCAAATAAACATTATAAACATATTGTTAAAACATAAATCTGCATTTAAACTCTCACCAAAACTGTCTGGAACTCAAAACTCAACTTGACTCCTATAGTAGTACCTCTGTTGCTAACTTTTATTATGTTAGACACCATAGAGAGTAGAAGGAGGAGCAGTTGAATTACATTAAAGATGCTTTTTCTTGTAAAATCATAAGCTGACTTTTTTGTGCCAAAGCAAAGGATGTTATCCTTAGAGTACTATACTTAAGCAAGCTATAGAGAGTGTTAGCAAGTATGAATGAGAATATGAGTCTCGATTTGCGAGGGCGCCTCTATTAGTCATGAAAAAACACACTCGTGGAATGTTCCTCTCGACGACAATTACTTGAATTTTAACTTACCTTGGTGAAATGTGAATTAACAAGCTGAAAAAACCATTCACAGAAGCAAACTTAGACAAAAAAAGATATTTATTGTTATAGGTAATATTTTGATTAAAAAAAAGTCAAAGGGTATTGTGGGAGGCATGTGACTATGTGGACACAGCACATTCTCCCAGCGACCCCACTTTAGGTTTACCTCGAATTAGAGCTGGTGCTATACCATTGTAGGAATATTTTGTAATAACATGATTTCTTTCGTAAAAATGCAATTATCATAGTATAAGAAATGAAGATGTTTTTTATTACAAACCCATATAGTTCAATGTTTAAAATAAAATGTTTGAATAGCTTTGTTATATAGGTACATAATAAAAGTAAATACGGTTAAAATACTTTTCTAATTTCAGATTTCCAAAAAGCAGTGAATTGGCAAATAAATGGGTGGTAGCAATAAAAAAGCCCAAATCAGGTTGGAAGCCAGTAGCCAAAAGCCTAACATCAGGAGTTCCATTTGTTTCATCCATTTAAAAAAAAGAAAGGGTGGACTGCTCAAGCTGGTTAGAGGTGAAATACCAGAGCTTAAATTTGAAAAAAGATTACATTTATTTTAAAGTGATTAAAAATCTAGCTAAATTTTTTCAAAAGTAATAAAAACATTCAAAAATATATTGACTTTGTAATATCTTGAAGGTAAAACTGTAATCATGCAATCAAAACAACAATTACATAATAAGTTAATGCGTTTTAAGGGACAGTTAATTAAATTTTTGTGTTCGATTAATAAACATTGTTTTATTAATTCATACCTGTTTTGTTGATCTGCTAAAACCTACCTTATAATTACTTACCTACCTAATATTTACTAAATACTTATCTGATAAAATGAATAACTTAAGTACAATTATGCACAGGTGTCAATCATGCTGCATCACTATTCAATCAATCAATCAATAACTATATACAGAACATCTGCTTACGTTTGGCATAGTGGTCAATGACTGATTCGCGCGCTCTATAGCTTGCTTATGTATAATCTAAGATGTAATTTCTACAATTTACATCAGATACTTAAATAAAACTGGTTTTTATGGATTTTGCATATATTATTTTATATTCCCGACGTTTCAAGTACTTTACAGCACCCATGGTCACAGGGGACTGAGATGTTTGATATCCCATTATCATAGTTAACCACAGCTACTATGCAGAATGAAATAGTAGATGCAAGACTGTAAATTCATATTGAATAGATCGGACCATAAATTAATATACTATCTATCCATGATTTAACCTACTAAAGATAGACATATGACATAACCTCCATGCATTTTAAGGCAAATCTTGGCTTAGCTTTCCATTGACTCCCGTCGAGTTGTGGGTTGATACATATTTTTACAGAAAAGTTACACTATTATAAGCACCACTCAGTTTCTACATGCGGAAACGCATAATTTTTGAGAAAAAATTTCTTGAAAATCAATTATTCTTGCAATGTTTATGTCTAATCCTACCGTAAAACTTTTTTACCACCATTTTATAATGTCATTGTCGACGTTAATAGGGATGTCGATTCTTTCGAGCTGATGTTCACAAAAAAATTGATTTCTAAATATCTATATTTTTTTAAAGTTTGCATTTATAATGTAAATATAAACCCATTTTATGAAAAACAAGAAAGATACCATGATAAATGATCTCTTATTGAAATTTGTTTTATTTTAACAGTACCAATTAGGGCAGATAACAAATAAAATAGGTTAGGTTCAACTTATGCCAAAGAACCGAATTGATTGACCCCGACTCCACCTGGTACGAGTCTGTCCTACCCCTAGAGTGGTTTTATAGAGACGGAGGCGCGAAGGGGGAGCAGCCTCCGCCTGCTCGGCATCGGACAAGAAGGGATGCCTGCGATTTTTTACGCTAAGGCGTAGAGGCTGCTCTTCCCACAGCGCTGGAGACGTAGCAGTCTCAAAATAGATACAGAAATCCTTCTGAATCAGTCCCCCTATATTTTATGATGAAGGGGATATTTTTCTCATAAAATGGATTTATTTTTTTCTCATAAACATTATAAATGCAAACATGAAAAAAATATAGATATTTTAGAAATAAATTTTTTGGGAATCGATACATCAGCTTACAATTCGAATCTATTTAAAAAATCGATCTTTTTCGGAAAGAATTGACATCCCTACTGACAATAACAATAAAAAATGGTGTCAGTTTTATTATAGGATTAGACATAAACAATGCAAGAATAATTGATTTTCAATAACTTTTTTCTCAAAAATTATGCGCTTCCGCATGTTGTAACTTTGTGTGTGTGCTTATAATAGTATAACTTTTCTGTAAAAATACGTATCAACCCCAACTCGACGGAAGTCAATGGAAAGTCGTACCCAAATCTTTATCTCTAGTAGGGCTAGATAGGAAATTAATTTTGGCTGTATGACATTAGGACATTGAACACCCTAGTCTGTGACCATGTGCCCAGTTTAGTACCCAAAATGTCTAGAATATAAAATAAGTTAGTATATGTCATAAAATATGTAAAAAGTAGTTTCATTTAAATTTGTAATGTTTGCATACACATAAGTAATTATTACATCAGACACCATTATCTGTGTTACTGTAATAATCTTATGCTCTACTTCATAAAATACCAATCATAGGCTACAGGTTACCTAATATAAATAACTTAAATTTTCTTATTAAACTTCTCAATGCAACAGGTCTATCAAGTGCATTCACAGCATTAAAAAGCTAAATACAAATCAATAAATAGAACAATAAACTATATGAAATTGCAACAAAACTTTGAAATAGATTTCATGTTTGTTATAATTTTTAAGAGTGAGACTTCCTAAATATTACAAGAATGTATAGTGTATACACAATATTCCTGCTGCATTGCTGCAAATTTAGGTCATAATAGAACTGAATTTCAACAGCAAAACATGTATATCAAAAAATATATACAAATATACATGCTTATAACATTTTACGAAACCTCATTGAATTAATTTATTGTTTTATAAGTATAGGTATTTGTCATCAAACGTCACTCTATCACATACAATATTATAATACAATATTATAATCAATGAGGAATCGTTAAAAATAAATTATGATTACCTTCTCGCTGCCGCTTGCTTTGAGGGTAAGCGCAAGAGTCAGCACATCGCTTTTTTGGATTTTTCTGTGAGGGTCCTAATTCTGGTTGTATTTCCTTCATCTCGCTATCAGTACCATCGTAAATGTTTTCTGAAGTTTTTGCATCATGGTATCCATAGTAGCAGTTTCTAGATATATGTATATTCTGACAGTGACCCATCAACTCGTTTGTAGGATCACTGTAAATCGGGGCAGGTCGCATAGCATTAAAATTATTTTTGGCGTCTTGCATGTGAAATAAGTCAATACTGCTTGCTGGCATTTCTGTTGTTTTGACGACGTGAGTTGTTGATGGGTTCAAATAGGTACTGCTAGCTGCTAGCTACTTCGTTATCGTAGTTTTTCAATAAGAAATATCACGTTACTTTTAAGATTAAAAATATTACTTGTAATGAAATGAAAGTATAACCTATATGCCTAAAGCCTAAACCAGTGTTGCCAACACAAACTTTACCTTTGCTTTAACGTTGCCAACTGCTAGCTTTTAGAGATGGGTAGCTATTCAAGTAACTAACTAAATAGCGGCTATTCACAAAATAGCCACGGCTATGATATTCGTCAACACGATAACTAGCTATTGGCTACTTTGGCTAGAGGCGCTTCGGTTATCCGACAAGCTACGGCGCAGCGGGTAGCTGCTACTGAGGACGCTACGTTATATAGCCGGCAGCCGCGCGTAGCTCTCAGCTACGCGCGGCTGCCGACAGCTACCAGCTACTAGCTAGCTGACTAGCTGAATAGCCAAGGCCAACCAATAGCCATTAGCCAACTGGCAACGGGAAACTACACGCGCGATCGATGCAATCTTCATTCGCATTTTACATCGCCCTTATCTTTTATACATTCACGATATAAGAAAAAGGTTAGGTTTATTATTTGTAATATGTACATAATAATTGTATTTTATCCGTTGTCTTAATTAAAATGAACTTCCCTTCATACTTTCTTCAGGCTTAGGACTGACGATGAAACATTAGCGTACAAAATTAAATTATAATGAAATATCATACAGTATAAAATGTTACATCGGCGTATTTCGAAGTTCATTTGATTTTATGTACAAATTTGAACTTTAGTCTCATCATCATTATCATCATTACAGCCCTTCACAAGTCCACTGCTGAACATAGGCCTCCCCCAAAGAATGCCACAAAGCACGGTCCTGAGCCACCTGCATCCATCGACTTCCTGCATATCTTACCAGGTCGTCACTCCATCTAGTGGGGGGACGCCCTACACTTCGCCTGCCGGTACGAGGCTGCCACTCGAGAACCTTTCTTCCCCATCGGTTGTCGGTTCTTCGAGCTATATGGCCGGCCCATTGCCACTTCAGCTTACTAATCCGTTGGGCTATGTCGGTCACTCTAGTTCTACTGCGGATATCCTCATTTCTGAGTTTATCACGCAGAGAAACTCCGAGCATAGCCCTCTCCATAGCTCGCTGAGCGACCTTGAGCTTCCTCATCCGGCCAGCAGTGAAGGACCACGTCTCAGTTCCGTATGTCATCACTGGCAACACGCACTGGGTGTACAGTCTCGTTTTCAAGTTTTGAGGTATACCTGACGAGAAGATGTAACTTTAGTCTATTTACACTTATTTTGTTTATATACAGTCTTAGATGCTATAATATTATACACTTATTTAGTCACTATTAGTAAGTACCTATTTGTATTTTTGTTTATTTATACACTTTTTTAATGAATATAAAAGTTTATATGATAATGGTTTACGTCCAATTAAAACGTTCTTTGTCCATATTGACATTTAAAAACATTAGTTTTTGCACTTTTTGAGTTGTAAGCCTTGTTCGTCGATCGTTTAATATTAATCCCGATTTCGAAAACAACCTTTCGCAGGGAACTGAGGTGGCGACTTTGTTGCAGTGTGTTTTAACAATGGGTATATTTGACGATGAATTTTCACCATTTAAGTGGATCGTTCAATTCTCCCGATGACATTTTAAGGAGAAGTGGATCATCATTTAAATACATGTCGACTTCTTTAACAGCCTTTGATAACGGAGTTCCTATGGTATAATTGCTCACAATTATACTGTCTACAATATTAAAAGGAGAGTATTTCTCATTTTTTTTCTTTTTCTATTGATGTTTCCTTTGGAACTGGTTGGAAATTAAATTGTTTTGATATTTGGCATTGTACCATTTCAATCAACTTGTTTTTTGTTAATAAACCCGTTGCCTGGTCTTCAAAAGCCTTTAATTTAAATCTGGGATCTAAGAGAAGGCAGAGTGAAAAAGTTCCACTTTTTTCTATATTTTTAAATCGTTCTTCTAACCCTTTCTTTAAATTTAATGCAACCAAGTACACAACATCACATAGGACATTGTCATGCATCAATAAATTCAGGCTTTCAGCTAGACATCTCGTATAAATGACTACTGAACCCGCTGTGATGTATTTTTCACCACTCACAGATCGTGTTATTTCTTCGAAGGGTCGCAGTACCTGGCACAGCACTTTAAATGCCTTCCATTTTTCTAAAGATATGACGGGTATATCTTTATTTATTACTGCCATGGTAGCACGCAGTGGTTCTTCTAGTTCAATAAACCTTTCCAACATATAAAATGTTGAGTTCCATCTGGTCGGACAGTCTTGTTTCAACCGTTTTGGTGGAAGTCCATGGTCCACTAAATATTTGGTTAATTTATCAGCAGCGGTGGTGCTCTGCTTAAAATAACGTACTATTACTTTTACTTTATCAATGGAAGATTCCATCGTTTTCAAACTAAATTACACAATTAGGTTTAACGAATGGGCGTAGCATCCGTAGTGCTTTAGTTGTAAAATGTCTTTCATTGCTTTTAGCATAGCGGACGCATTATCAATGATAGAAAAGTCAATTTTTTTTTAATATGCCCCATTCTTCACATATTCGTTTGATCTCAGCTGCGATGTTGTCGGCAGTGTGATTCCCAAAAAACTTGCAGCAGTCCAGCAACACAGTTTGGATTTCCATATCATTATTTATGAAGTGTCCTGTAACTGCTTTATAGCTATCCGTAGAGGTGGATGTCCACAAGTCGGTTGTTATGCAAATGGTTTCGGCTTCTATTGATACTTTGCTTTGAATAATCATCTTAGTTTTGTGGTAGATTTCTGGAAGCATGCTATTACTGACAGTTTTTCGGGTGGGTAAAACATACCCTGGAATCCACCGAGCAAACTTCCTAAAAGATCTTTCATCTACTAAACTAAACGGATGAAAGGCATCAATGAAGAGATCCATTAAGTCAGCGTCAATTGCTTTTTTTTTGCTCTGCAGATATTTTTTTTGGAATATAAGCATCAATTTGGCGTTGCCTCTTCGTTGGAGGAAAGGGAACGAATGCTTACGCTGGTACATAGTCATTCGATGACGCGACAACGATATCAGCGTCACGATAAGTGCTCGTAGACGGTACAGCATCAGCATCGCACACATTTCTGGATGTATTCTGGGAAGCCTGCAAATATCTTGGCGGTAGAGCTGCCGGGTGTTTCGAATATTTTTTTTTAAATTCAGCGTAACCAGCAATGTGTTTAGATTTTAAATGGGCGGTTAGATTGCCTGTTGAACTTTTATAACTAAAAAAACTTTTACATATATTACATTGTCCTTTTTAGTAATATTATTTTTTTGAAGATAAGTCCAAATACTCCCTGGCATTTTTACTAAATTAAATTATATCGAAGTTCTAGAAAGTTCTTATTATTTACACTAATTATTTCTAATATTTACATAGTACGTACACAGCACTCAAGTTCCATAGTGTCAGGGCATAAATTCGATAAGCAGAACAATTAAAGCGAACACACTTTTGAATAAATAAACACAACCAAAGCAAAAGTACCTATTCGTCTGATGTTAAATTCAAATTAGGTCCACTGAGTGAAATGCAAGAGCAAAATGTTAATATTGTTTTAAATTTCATTTAAAGCTTTGAATCAACATAAGTGAATTATCAACTACACGATTTAAAACATTATCGAGTATAAAATAAGGTTTACAATTACAACGATAGCATCATTAGAAATAGAAATAAAAAATGGAGTAGCGCGACATCTATGGCATATCTTTTAATTTACTTGTACTGTTGAATGTTGTATAACATAATTAAATCTGATACTACAGCAGTTCCTTCATTTATAGATATAGATGGCACTTTAAAATATAGATGGATATGATATTTCGACAGTTTTTAATAATTTAATTTAATAATATGTACGACATAGTTATGAGGGTAATTCATTTCTTTTCAAGAAAATATAAAATTAATAAGGAAATAAAAACGAAAGTCATTATTTTTTATTTATCTAAATATAAGTTCCGCGGCGAGATTCGAACGTAATCCACAGGGCAGTTGAGCATTGAATTCCTAGCCTAGCTACACTACAGTGGCACGCTCACGCTAACGGTATCAACTATCGGTTGGTTAGTGAGTCATTTATCCAAATAGCCAAATAGCTGAATAGCTGGTTATCTAGCTGGCTATTCCACCACAAATAACTGGCTAGCTAGGTTATTGCAATTTTGGCTAGTTACCCATCGCTACTAGCTTTACCCAGTTGATCAGTTGATAGATTTTTTTTTTTGGAGTTTATGGCCTGGTATCTAGACCTTTAGGCCAAGTCTTAAGTATTTTTATTCGGTTTATTGTAATTTCCCCACTCCTTCATAGTATACTGCTTCACAATATGTTGATGCGTCACATTGTGCAGTTCTTGGGAGATTTTGGCGGCAACTTGATCCAGCAGACAGCTGATAGTTGGCGATGGTATCTAAAGGTGCCTATGCAAACAAACAGCTTATTTTGAGAATCCATCACCATCAGAGCACTTGTTTCACTGTTTCCACTAATAGTTCACATGCGTAGACACTTAATACACAAAATCGCAACACTTTTACATATAAAAGTCCACTTCAAACCATTATTTAAACAATAATACAGGAGCAGCAAACCGCCGCCGGTCAATTTCCCGCCAAAACTCCACCCAGTTGATAGACATTTTTCAAAATGTTGCTAGATTGCCAGCTTTTTTACCCCAAAAAGTTGCTAGAAGTAGCTAAATGTTACTGTACGTAGGTAGATTACAATAAAATCTCAATTTCTGACAATCATTTTTAATTTCCAACAAGAGAGTTAAAAATGTCTTGTTCGTGACTGTACGAACAATAATATGTAAACAACATAGGACTATATTATATTATATTTATTGTTGACTTTTGTGGCACAAATAATTTTGTTTCGGAACGCTTAACGTGACAAAGTTCTACGTTCTTTAGATATTGTTACGAGCTTGAGGTTCGAGATAATTAAAAACTGCCGATTGAATTACCAAAATTGACACTTTAATTACACAACACTAATTACAATCTAAAATCACACTAATAATAAAACACAGTTCGCCGTTATTTCGCTTCGAAGTATTCTCTTGTATCGCCAATTCAATACTCCTCGGTCGTGATCTATACCGGCCTTATATAGGGCCTCAGATAGTTTCCAGAATCTTCTACGTGGAATACGAGTAGCGTGTACTATTTTTGTAAGTGGTAGATTAGTGAGTAATCTGTCGTAACGCAGCAGGAAACGGGGAATTCCCGGCCAATACCGACCTAAACTAGAAGTGGGCGTTGAATCAATAAACGGTTTTCTATCGTCAATAAGTTAACTGTTTTTTATTTGTATATTCATTAATGAAAAAACAGCTTGAAAATATTAGCTGTTAATTTACGTCAACGCATTATTTCAATATTATTTATTAATTTCTGTGAATTTAGTCTCCTTCGGAAATATTCGTTACTTTCGGAGATTACCGACGCGGTCTTGTGCGTTTGTTTGTGTGAGCGTGAGCGAGTAAAAAAACGTTGATTTGTTATGATTTTGTAATTAGTGTGTGTAAACAATCCCTGAGTGTAAGTCAAGGCTAAAATTCGTTGCGATTATTTTGTTTGCATTACGCGTCGAGGACAAATGTTTTTAATTTAAGTTTTTTTTTAAGTTTAAGTTAACTGCTATTTTTAAATGTAATCTTAGAGGAAGACCATTTTGCAGGTTATGAGATTTAATATCTAATTGTAAATAGAATAAAGGAAAAAAACAAAAAATGATGAATAATGTATATACAATCAGATGATCTTTTAAGTACGCCTGAATACCTACTATTTTTACCCAGCAAGTCCTAAGCCTGGAAAAGTACGAATTAAAGGTCATTCCAATTCAATAAAAATAAAAGTTCTTAATCTAAATTCTTACCAAATCAATAATCTTCAACCTAATCTGCAACAAATTTGTTATTGATCGAAAACGTTGAAATATTAAATTGACGATTAACGCTAACGATTGAAGTTTTAACACCTGTTATTTATTTAACAGCTTTTTCAACCTGTTGACCATTAATGATTAACAGTTAAATTACATCAACTAAAAAACAGTCAATGACCCATGTCTCACCTAAACCTACCATCGCATTTATGCCCATAGATTCAGCCAAAGCAGCTGCAAGGAAGCTGGGAGTCCTTGCAAAGATGCGGCGATACTTCACGCCGTGACAGCTGCTTACTTTATATAAAGCGCAAGTCCAGTCGTGCATGGAGTATTGCTGCCATATATGGATGCTGTAAAATGCCACCTAGCAGCTCTGGACTCAATGGAAAGGCGTGCTAAGAGGCTTATTGGTGACCCGAATTTGGTTAAAACCAATCTTACCAGCCTCGAACACAGACGTAAAGTAGCCAGCCTTTCGGTTTTCTACAGGATGCATTTCGGAGAGTGTGCGCAGGAATTACATAATTTAATTCCCCCCTCTCCCTTTCACCATCGGACAACCAGATTTTCAGCCAGTCTCCACCCTTTCTTTTTTTTTTATAGGATCGGGTGACAAACGAGCACACAGTCCACCTGATGGTAAGTGGTTACTGTGACCCATAGACATCTACATCTATCCTCAATAAAGACTCAAGATGCAGATGCGTTGTCACCCGTGAGGACTAAGATGGAATGCCTCTTTGCCAGTAAAAAGGGTCTCCGGTTCTCTACACTCACCATACGAAACATAGCAGCGTTAAGCTGCTATTTTACGCTGGTTTTCTGTGAGAGCGTGGTCCTTCCCCGGTCGAGCCGACCCATTCGTGCTACAACCATAATATAGCGGCAGCATGGCTCTACCACGTTTCGTTGTTGATTTACGAGTACCACGCATTCGAACCAAATGGTTCGCCACGTCGTTCATCATGCGTACAGCAAAGGAGTGGAATAAGTTGCCAGCATCTGTCTTTCCATCCGTTTACAGTGTGGGTGTCTTCAAGACAAGAGTGAATAGGCTTTTGTTAAGTCAGTGCGCTTCACCATCTTAAGCTACATCACCACTTACCATCAAGTGGGATCGTAGATAAGCGCTGGCTTAGTAGAATATAAAAAAAGTCAGGGAATAGTGTTGTACGTCTAGCTCGCATGATACCTCGCAAAGCAAACCATATAGTCTACTTTGATAATTTTTACACTCTCTACCGCTTGTGACTTTCTTAGCTAAGGAAGGCATTTATTCATTGGGGACAGTACGTGTCAACCGTCTACGCAATTTTAGGCTACCAGACAAAAAGGCTATCATAAAAAAGCATCCCAAGAGGATATTACGAAGAAAATGTAGCGAATGTGGATGGTTTTGATGTCAGAGCTGTAGTATGGAAAGACAATAAACCTGTGAATATCCTTTTCACCTACGTTGGTGCTGAACCA